CCAATTTTCGTGAAACTAAATTTCGGAATCATATTTTATTCGACTATTTATAAATGAATATTTAATTTATCGATGATGGCAAGACATAAAATTTATCATGTGGTTCCAAGAAATGCATATCACAAAGATTAAATATACAAGGTTCATATCAGAAATCTGCATCGGGCCTAAATAGCCCTTAAACCCTCTGGATCCGGGGGGGGGGGATCAAGCCGGGTTTTGCAGATCATTAGTTGATTCTGTCTGGAATGGGATGATAGATGAAAAAATTTAAAAGAAATTTTTTTTAAAAAAAACGTCTCCCATTATTAAATTCATCGAGGAAACGAGGGTTTAAAGATGTAATAAATATCATCATAATTGAATGTAAACATTTGTAAAATCATCTTATGTTGGAATTATTAAGTTATATTTTATATTTAGATTTATAAAATTCGATCTTTGTTGAAGTCAATTATGTATTGCGATTCTCGAGTTATTTTTATTTTACACAATTTTATTTTTAATGATAATTATATGATTTGTGCGGCATGATTTTTGGGGCTTATAATTTTAAAGAAATGTATTTTTTTTATATTATTTTTATTTACAATTAGGAGCATCCCTATTAAAAGGGGAGCGAATTGTAATGTAAAATTACTTCATTTTTTCCATTTTATTTTAATTTAAAAAAAATTATTTCTAAGTTATTAATTCTTATTGCAGACAACAAATAAATATAATCAATTCGAAATTAATACATCTGTTTTAAAATAAAATCATTTCTATCGAATAATGTTTAAAAATTTTTTAGAAAGTACAACAGTTATATTTTGAAGAAGAAAAAAACTAAGGGTAAATTTTTGCATATAAAACTATATTAAAAAAAAAAATCTGGTAGTGCATCATCAAGGCCTTATATTCACGACAAATTTGTAACATTTTTACACCCTTCGATATAAGGTAGCATCACATATTCAATTTTAAATGAATGGTGTTTTCCATATTAACTGACATTATACATGGTAAATGATATCCAAACCCATTCAAATTAATCCGATATTCCAACCCATTATCAATCTGTTATCCAGATAGAACCGCAAAAGGTATCAAAAAATAAAGATAGATAATGAGAGAAAAATGGGATATTCTCGAAAAATCAAGGGGTTGTTAGCCATCGTTAATTTTGATGCAAATATTCTAAAAGGGACCTTCCACTGTAGAACGTACTGCATGCAATCTTTTATTATATATTTTCATATCTAGTGTCACATTAACATGACCTAGTCCACTAAACGGGGTCATAATTTTTTCTTTAAGTAAATATTCTACATCAACAACAAAAACATATGGGGCTAACAACATTGCTATTTTAATTGGTTCCCCAATTGTGGAATATTTAATGTTTTAATATTATAAAATCATTCATTTAGCATGTTGGTCTAGGACCCGTTCCTAGCCTTTCCTCGCATAATCGCAACGTTTTTTTTCTCGATAAAGCAGACAAAACTTTGTTATCCAGATAAGAAGTAATAAAGGGGAAAAGGTACTAAAAATCCCTTCATAATTGTTTCAATTATATATAAATTTACTTCTATATTATACAAATGTAATAAATAAGTAAATACTTATCTTTTAAAATAGAATATTTAGAATCATATTAAAAATACATAAACATAAAAATATTCTTTCTACAATATATAATTTTTCGCTAAGATAGATTTATTAAACATATTCTTATCAGAGTTTAACAATATTTATTAGTATTAATGTATACCACAATATATTACTAAATATTTTTTTGAACAGTAATGGCTTAAAGGTTTATACTGAAATAGCCTTTATAGTTAGTTATAATCAGGGTTGATAAGTCGATCAATTGACCGCAGGTCAAATACTCTAAGAAATCAAAGAAAAAAAATTAAAAATATGTTTGAAAAAAGAAAAAAACGATATAAACATATGATCACAATGCTGCTTATTTATTGGGTCCCCAATATCAAGGGGAGCATCTAGCTAATAGTGAACTTAATGAAGTATGTGAGATAATAGAAGAATTAGGCATTTTACAAGGTCGCGATGAACAAAACATTTCAAGTTCAGAAGTAAATGCGCCATGTTTTATGGCAAATTATGTGGAAAGCGGTAACTTCCATAAGAAGCAAAGAGATTCCGGTCTCAAGTTAGTGAAATGCTTGACCACCAGGTGGTATTTTACTAATAATTTCTAGCTCTACTCCTTATTTAGAAAGAAATTGGTCGATTTGGGTTAATATTCTTACTGAAACAGAAATCGAATGAAGATCTTGACAACCGAAAAGTTGATTAAAAAAATATTATAGAAAATGATAATATTAAATATGAATCAAGAGCAATAGAAATTAGTAATTGAATGACAATGAATTGTAAAAATATTATATCATTTTATACAAAATAAAGTTAATCTTGATTTTAAAAAAAAAACATTTATTTGAATTTGACCGTATTTGAGCGGTAAAATATCGGTAAATTTACCGAAATTGACTGGTTACATAATCCTGGTTATTGCTAACAGATAAACGTGAGAGAAAGAATTAGTAAAGTATGTCCCTTAATCTCGCAAGAGAAAAAACAAATCAACATAGCGTTCGTGGAAGATGAGATTGTTAGGTGATATGCAAGATTTATGACGAACCCTACATATGTTTTATTAATTATATTTCGATAATTCTTTAATTATTTAAAAAAAAGATCTCAAAGTATGCTTCGTGTTTTGTAATTTTAAGTTGGGATTTAGGAAGCAAAAAAAATTTTTGCCACAAGAATTAGAGCGTTTTTGCTATAAGTTCCATCATAACGAAAACCCTAACTTGCCCATGTTTGAAAAAAAAAAAATTATAATTATAGGCCTTGGCCTATTTTTTTTTTGTCAAATAGCGCCAATAATGCCTTTCAAATGGCCTCGCGCAAATTGGTAAAATTACCGTTTGGCGTAGCAACCATTTTAAAAAACGTTATTTAATACTTTTTTTGTATTCGTTTAGTAATGGTAAAAAATGTAAATATAAATAACTTATAACTTATATCCTAAAAAGGAATATTTAGAAATTAAAGAAATAAGAACGCAGAAGATAATATAATTTTCAAAAACAAATCCTTTTTTTTAAAAAAAACTTATTTAAAATTTTGAATCGACAGATATTAATAAAAAAAAAGACAACCTCCACTTAAACATAGGACGCGTTACGTTTTTTTTATTTAAAAATTACGGCAAAACGTAAACGCTCAATTTGTGCGCAATATTATCTCAATTTTCTAAAAGACAATCAAATTCTAAAAATTTTTGAGGACATCAAGTCATATATTCTATATTAAATACGAATTTTCATTGTTTTTTTTTATATTTTCCTTAAATGACGTATAAACTAGATTTTAAATTAAATGACGTATCAACTAATTTGAAATTGACGTACCAACTAGATTTTAAATTAAATGACGTATCAACTAAATTTGACGTATCATCTAGATTTTAAAATTAAATGTCGTATCAACTAGATTTTAAATTAAATGACGTATCAACTAATTTGAAATTGACGTATCAACTAGATTTTAAATTAAATGACGTATCTACTAGATTTGACGTATCATCTAGATTTTAAAATTAAATATCGTATCAACTAGATTTTAAATTAAAGGACGTATAAACTAGATTTTAAATTAAATGACGATCAACTAATTTGAAATTGACGTATCAACTAGATTTTAAATTAAATGACGTATCTACTAGATTTGACGTATCATCTAGATTTTAAAATTAAATGTCGTATCAACTAGATTTTAAATTAAATGACGAATCAACTAGATTTTTTTAAATAGAAAATCCACGATTCCTTATTTCAAAGCAAAAGATATATCTTTTTAAATGCCTAAAGTGAAGGTTGAAATAAAAACGGGTTTTTAAAGGATATTTTTATTCCGTAATGCAAACTTTACTTAAAAAAATTGGAGGGGGGTGGGAGATATTAATTGTAAATTAAACTGGCTGCCCACCTCTTGTGGGAGATATTAATTGTAAATTAAACTGACTGTCCACCTCTTTCAAAACGTTCATGAATAACTGATATATGTCAATACCTAATCAATCTAGGTTAACGAGGTTAGTAATAATGAGATATTTGCTAAGACATGATTTGGGAAAGAATTTGGGGAGGTAGGGGGGGGGGGGAGGGGGGTGCTCACAATTATAAATAAAATATCGTGGAGATGGATCCGATTTCATGTCAAAACATCTAATTTGATGGCGTCCGACAAGGCTTTCATAGTGATTTTTTTTTAACGTTTCGACTTAAAACAGATTAGACATTATTTTATTTTTTTTTTAAATGAACCAATATTCTTTAGTTAAATTATATATTATATATGATCTCAAAAATATAATTAATTGATATTTTGCCATGGCAAAATAATATTTTAAACTAACATTTATTTATTCAATATTTTGTATTATAAAATTTATATGTATTAAATTCCTCTATACTTTAATGGTATATATTTTATTTTAATAAAAAATATCATTAGTCATCCAAGAACTTGTTTATAAAAACATTATTTGGTAACAATTAACCATGTTTTTGATTATATAAATAAATATTGTCTGCAATTGTATTCAAATTAAATACTTTGTGAAGATTTATTAGAAATTGATTCTGATTTCATTTTTTAAAAATTAGTTTGTATAAGAAAAGCTTTTGCCTCTGAAATTCTTAAAATAAATTTATACATATAAATAAATATTGTCTGTTGTATTCAAATTAAATACTTGGTGAATGGGTAATAATAAGATTTGATAGAATAATATAATTATAAAGCAAATATAAAATTCATTTAGCAATTATAATAATATTTACAAATAAAAATATATTATTTTTTTATTTGACTTTTATATAAAAAAGCATTTGTATAATATTCATTTTGACCTTATCCTTGTGGTCTTCTGATAAAGATGATATTTCATCATCTATAAATTTAGCAAAAGATGATTTCTCCTTTTTATCCTTCTCAATAGTATTTTTTCAAATATTTTTCTTCTTCTTTTATTCAATGTTGTTATATTTTCATCTGAGGTAATATCATATAGTGGAGTTGAATTAGATATAGTTAAACTTGATTGTTGTATCCGAGGTGTTAAAGTTTTATTTAAAAATGATAATGTTTCATAATAAGGCCACGTTGATTTATATGGTGGCCCAGCTGAACCACTTGGACTATTTACTGTTTTTTCGTATTCTTTATTCTGATAGTCTTTTAAATTATTCCATTTAGCTTTTAAATCGTCACCTAAAAAATATATAATAGATTAAATATCTATCTACATAATTATTTCAAACGTTAGTTTAATTAAAAAATTAAGATTTACCTGATTGACCAAATTGCAATCCTAAATTTTTCTAAATATTCGGTTTTTTAATGTACATCTTTGTAATTTTCATCTGTTTTGTCGTAAATAAATATTGAATCTTTAATATTATCAATAAAATGATATATATTCATATTCATTTTTTAAAAAATTATAAGTAACGTTATATGGCTCTATAATATTAACCGGATCAAAAAGTCAAAATGTTTTGATTTCAAAATTTGTCGGATTCGATTTTAAGGCTGCATTCATAGTGGAGGCGGATCCGTTTTTTACATCTGTTCCGTCACAAGTCAATCTCATTAAAAATGATATATATGTTCAAAGTGCGTCCGTTCCGATACCTTCCGATTTTAAATGGGATCCGGCAAATTTTGAAGTCAAAACATTTCGACTTTTTGATCCGGCCAAATATTATAAAGCGTTATAACTTATAATTTTTTAAAAATTAATATATTTTATTGATATTATAAAAGATTCAAGATTTATTTACGACAAAACAGATGAAAATTACAAAGATGTACATAAAAAACCGAATTTTGAAAAAATTTAGGATCGAAATATGGTCAATCAGGTAAATCTTAATAAAGAATACAAAAAATCAATAGATAGTCCAAGTGGTTCAGCTGGGCCTCCATATAAATAAACATGGCCTTATTATCAAACATTATCATTTTTAAATAAAAGTTTAACACCTCGGATACAACAATCAAATATAATTATATCTAATTCAACCCCAATGATATTACATAAGATGAAAATATCAGCATAGATGAAAATATAACAACATTAAATAAAAAAAGAAAAAAATATAAAGAAAAAATATTTGAGAAAATTCTACAAATTGAGGAGGATAAAAAAGAGACATCCATTTTTGCCAAATTTATAGATGATGAAATATCAACTTTATCAGAAGACCACAAGGATAAGGTCAAAATGAATATTATACAAATGCTTTTCTTTATATAAAAGTCAAATAAAAAAATAATATATTTTTATTTTTAAATAAATTTATTATAATTGCTAAATGAATTTTATATTTGCTTTATAATTATATTATTTTAAGTACCATTTCAGTTTAATAAATGACACATTAAAAAATCAGAGTATCAATTTCTAATAAATCTTATTATTAACCCATTCACCAAGTATTTAATTTGAATACAATAGCAGATAATATTTATTTATATAATCATAAACATGGTTAATTGGTACCAAATAATGATTTTATAAACAAGTTCTTGGATGACTAATGATATTTTTTTTATTAAAATAAAATATATACCATTAAAGTATAGAGGAATTTAATACATATAAATTTTATAATACAAAATATTGAATAAATAAATATTAATTTAAAATATTATTTTGCCATGGCAAAATATCAATATTATTAAAATAATTAATTATATTTTTGAGATCATATATAATATATAATTTAACTAAAGAATATTGGTTCATTTTAAAAAAAAATAATGTCTAATCTAAGTCCAAACGTTAAAAAAAATCACCATGAAAGCCTTGTCGGACGCCGTCAAATTAGATGTTTTGACATGAAATCGGATTCGTCTCCACTATGAATGCAGCCTTAGCGATTTTAATCTACAGTCCCGACATTTATTTATAAAAAAAACTGACGGGGACATAATTTTGTACTATAGCTAATGGATTCGAGGTTAAGAATAATAACAACTCATTAAAAAAACCTGTATCTGTATTGCTTCGAACCAAAAGAAAAGAAGATGTTCTTCTTGACGGGCGGGGGCGGGTCGAGGAGACGGAAAAAAGTGTGGTGCTCTATGCAAGATTTCCAAAAATTTTTGCAGGAATTGCCATCGTTCATGTCAAATTTAAGGATGAGAGAGCAATCGGCTTCCATCGATGACTTGATATATTTAGAAAGTTGGTATTTAAAAAATCATATATAGAGCCCTTGAAAATCGGTCCGAAGCCTGGTTCAAACGTACAAATTTAAAAATACTTTTGAGCCGGGTTAGGTTTAAAAACATTTCCGAAGAGAAGAGAAGTGAAGAGAAGAGAAGAGAAGAGAAGAGAAGAGAAGAAGAAGAAGAAGAGAAGAAGAAGAGAAGAAGAAGAGAAGAGAAGAGAAGAGAAGAGAAGAAGAAGAGAAGAGAAGAGAAGAGAAGAGAAGAAGAAGAGAAGAGAAGAAGAAGAAGAAGAGAAGAGAAGAGAAGAGAAGAGAAGAGAAGAAGAAGAGAAGAGAAGAGAAGAGAAGAAGAAGAAGAAGAGAAGAGAGAGAGAAGAGAAGAGAAGAGAAGAAGAAGAGAAGAAGAAGAGAAGAGAAGAGAAGAGAAGAGAAGAGAAGAGAAGTATTGAAAAAGAGAATTTTTCTAATGTTGATAATTTGAATGCCTATTGAAAATTTTTTTTTTATGTATATATAGTTTTATTTTTCTATAATAAAATAGTATTCTTTGGTTATTACAAATTCAAGTACAAACAAAAATAGAATATGCATCAAATTTATTAATTTTTTACATGGTAAAGGTGGTACTTTTCAAAAAGTAAAGTAATAGTGTTATTTTTTGAAAAAAATCAAATTAACGGCGTTACTTTTTGTTACTATTTTTGACGAGTAACGCAAAATGTAACGTCGTTCCTTTTTGAGTACCTTCAATCGTTTTGAAAAAAAATTTAGTTGTAATGCAGAAGTTTAATATTTTGGTCCGAATTAATCCCAAGAATGCTCACGCATTGATTTTTTCAACAAATGCTCTCTGGAAGGGGAAAAAAAGAAAAACAATTTATATCTTTGTATTCTATACTCACCGTGTTTTCTTGAATATGGAGATAGAAGAATTTCTTTTTGAACGATATTCTCAATATGGATTTCCTGTACGATTAAAAAAAAATATATATATAAAATAGGATCAATGACGTGATACTTAGACTTGCCATTCATTTATTAAAAGAAACTTTGAAGCGATGTTGAATACAAATCAGCTGGTTATGCGCCATTTTGGATTCTCGTATTAAGAATATTTTTTATAAATAAATAAAGCTCTTTTTTTTAGGGTTTAGACAAAATTTTAATATAAATCATTTGCAAATGGCGTGTTACCAGCTGATTCGCATTGGTACACATTTAAGTGAATGAATGGCTTGTTTAGTTTAGTATTATTATGTTATGGAATTGAATAAAAAAATTCCCCGTCAAATAAAAATTTATTTCTCCTCCTCCATCATTTAAAAAAAAGAGTAAGCAATATCTTCACACACGAAAAAAAAATGAACCAAGTTTGCAGATCTGCGCAAGTTTATGCGTAAACGGTCAATTTTATCGTCTTAATTATTTTTTAAAACCAATCGTATTCATTTATAAAATCATTCGTTAAAAGGCAAGTTTAGAGCGTTTACAATGGTGGAATCAAAAATACGAATGAATGAATGTTTTATTCGTTGTATTTTGGAGATGTGCCTATACTCATTGTATCGAGATTATCAACTCGGTCGTTACAAAAGTCTTCTAAAGGTTAGGTTAGTTTATTAATTTTTTGATACAATTATGCACCCAAAAAAAAATTCACATTTTCTTTTTTAAATATATTAAATATTTTTTATACAGTTGAGATATTTCAGGCGATTCCTTTATTTACAATTAAATAATTTTAAAAAGTTTCCCTTTTCATGTTTCAATCTATACCGTTAATATAATAGATACTTTAACAAAATAAAATGTAATATTACAAGTAAGAAAAAAAAGACATCAAAAACAAACTATTATATATTTTCAAATAAGATCAATATTTAGATTGGCTTCCGATGAAGCTAATGTAATGTAGATTTGTGTATGACTTTTGTGAGGTTCCCTTTGTCCGGGATATGGAATTTTAAAAAGCTTAGATTGACTTATATTGTGAAAAAATAAATTTTTTGGATTATTGTAATTAACTTGCGCCATCTAGTGGAATTTTATTCTTCTGCCAAAATGACATTATATTATTTATTTTATTATTTAAAAATTTTTGTAAGGGTAGATTTACTAACTTTCATAATTGTAAAAAAATTAATATAAGAAAACGCTAAACTGTCAAATGAATCGAAGAAACGAGACCTTTTTATTTCAAATTTAGGAATATCAAAGCTGATAGCAAAACCTTATAATTAATTTGCTATGATATCTTTAAGTCCTCTATTTATTCTTTTAAAATAGATTAAAACATAAAAAATTTACGAAATGATAAAGTAATTTTTACCATTTTTATTTTTATATCTCAAGAATTAAACCCATTGATGGGTCTTTTGAATTTAATATATCTGTTAAAGATAAATCATATTCGGGAAATTAGTTGCTTCCCAGCGACTTGGATCATTGGTATAATATATAAGTAAATATAGTATCCTACCCTACAGTATGAGACATTAGCTTGTTTCCAGCGGCTTTGTTAAACATCATTTCCCCGATATATAAACAGTGACTCATAAGGTGATTAATGAAGTCTATCTTGGATCTTTTAGACTTTACCCTGGGGTAATAATAAATTTAGCTTTATGCCCATAAGAGGACGCAGTTAGAATCGTCTTTATTAGAAACGCAGCCTTTTTATCAATAGGAGGACACCGTTTGATTTGTAATATTTATGAATATGATCGAAATAACACAACAAATTATCATATTTTGGAAAACGAATTTATATACTCAAATAATTTTAATTTATTCCAAATTAATATTTGGACAATATAGCAGCATGTTTTATCCCTCTAAATGATTTCGAATAAATTTGATAAATATATAATACTAGCTGGACGGGTTATCAGCTAGTATATAATATTTATCTAATGAACATTTACCTTGACCCACTAAAATCTCCATATTCGTAAGAAAGTAATCGTTTATAAAAATAATAAGTAGGACCTACACTCACCCAGTACACTGACCCGGGTATTTTGAAAAAATTAGAATATGGGCCAGCCTGTGTACCCGGGCCAGCCTTAGGGCTTGTCCTGCAGATATACACAGATTAAGCCTGTTTTTACTAATATCATTAATAAAAAATATTTTATATTATTCCTGTAGGATTTTTAAAGTCTTTGTTAGAAAAAAATAAAAGTCTCCAATCAGAATCCGCAAACCAGCAATTATACTGTGCTCTCAGTATAGAAGAAATATCAATCAGACGGCAAATACATTTGAGTAAAACAGAATTCCATGGTTATGTGGATTTAGGAAATGGAATTGCAAGGTCGGAATCGCTTCCAATTGCAACAGAAGCATTATTTATAATGGCAACTTGCCTCAATGGGTCTTGCAAGATTCCACTTGATATTTCTAGTTTCTAATATTAATTCAATTTAGTTATGAATGCTCTCCATCACATACATGAAACTCGAGTTATCTGTAAAGCCTTAATATGTGATGGATTGGTCGCAAACAAAAGAATGGGTGAACAACTTGGTGTTTGCCCAAATCCGGAAAATTCAGTTCCATATTTCCTCCACCCTATCAATAGAGATGAAAAGGTCTATATGCTTCTAGATGTGTATCACATGATGAAAATGATGGAGAGAATTCATAATTAAATCTATTAATAACTGGAAATTAATATTAGAAACTAGAAAATATTCAAGTGGAATCTTCCAAGACCCAGTGAGACAAGTTGCCATTATAAATAATGCTCCTGTTGCAATTAGAAGCGATTCCGACATTGCAATTCCATTGCCTAAATCCACATAACATGGAATTTTGTTTTGTCCCAATGTAGCCGTTTGCTTAATATTTCATCTATACTGAGAGCACAGTATAATTGTTGGTTTGTGGATTCGAGACTTTTAATTTTTTCTAAAGAAGACTTTAAAAATCCTAAAGGAATAAAATAAAATATTCTTATTAAAAATATTTGTAATACCAGGTCTAATCTTTGTATGCATTTTTTTTAAAAATTATATATTCTATTTACACCATTAAAATGGTCTATATGTCACTTTTATTGTTTTACTTTTTACGTCCCCTCTATATATAATATAATTAAATAAAATTCCTGTAAAATAATGTATTGTAATATAATATAATTAAGCTATTTTGGGCTCAGGCCCACAAGATCGATTTAGCGTTTCGAGGGCGTACGGTTTAAAAGGTAGCACGCTAAAAATCAAGCTTTGTAAAATATCATTTCAAAAATTCGGATATTTTAAGCGTTTGCATATTAAAACATTGTATCGTCTATCTATTAAAATAATAACCACATTTTAAGGTAATGAAAACCGATATTCCAAATGATAATTGTAAATTTATACTAATTTAAAAGGTAAAATTATATTAAGTATTCAAAATATAACAGTAGTTTTGGTTTAGCCATTTTTTAAAAAAATAGGCGAAAACGTTTTAACAACCCTAGTACCAGGTATTATATATTATATACTAAAAACAAGTACATATTTATAGTTTTTGACTTTCTATTTTTGATTACCACATCCAAGCATTCAAATTTCTCAAATGCGAAAACTTAGGAATATTTAACCATTAATGTTTTGTAAGATTTTTATATAAACATAGATGGTATTGGCCTGATCTAGTGTTCAATATTTTAGTCAAAAAAATAATGCGTCTAGATTTCGTTATTAGATGTCCAAATCTTTCTGCCCATCCATGAGCAATATCTCCAAGTTTACGTAATATCTTTGGCCAAAATATTGGGTTAGCCGTTTTCAAAAAACAACACTACCCGATACACATCAGTATTGATGCCAATCATCAATGATAATATATTTTTTTACCAGGAAAATGTATTGATCTTGATTATGTTCTGGAACGCTAAAACACCGGCACAAGAAACGGCCAATTGAATGGCGACGTTGTTTTCATCCTTTTTATATAGATAAAAAAAATTGCGATTAAGTCAATAATTAATCATTTATTCTTTTTATCGATACAAGATACGCGTTTCGTTTAGCCTCGCCTACGGATGCGTAATTCATCGCTAAACGATATCATTCATATAATTTTACATTATTTGTTAATTTACGTATCGCATGAGCGACATCGTGGTATTTGGCGCTTAATATAAAAAGAGGCTTACCTTTCCAACAACCCCTGCTAAGACAAAATATTTTAACCCTGCATCCAAAGTGGTGGATAGTTATATCTTAAAAAATTACTGAATCCACCTTGGACGTATAAAAAATAGTTAATTTATATGGGATATGCTTTTGAAAATTCTTTTTTTCTATAATATACATGATTCTATTTTGGGAGCCGAAAAAAAATATATATTTAAAATATAATTAAAAAATTTTTTTAGGGGGCAAGTTCAATCCCCAGAAATGTGCATCTTTAAATACACTAATGTACATAATACCTATAAAAAAAAATTCTCAAATAAAGGCTTTATACAGAATGTTTGTGAAAAATCATGCTAAATTTAACACTGCATTTTATTATCGATTTATATAAAACAAGATCTGGGCATCTAGAATTTGAATCTAATTAGATCACGTTTCATAGGCATCATTTATTCATATTTTTATTTTCAATTATAATTCTAATATTTATTTTGTGAATTATAAAAAAAATAATAATTGAGTGAATGAATTAATTAAATCGCTCACCAAAGCTTCGTACATTTGGACACCGTATGTTTCGAGCGTCTTAGCTATACACAAGAAATTATATTCCGCATCTGCAGGAGTATGGCCCCTTTATTAGACGTACGTATTAAATTTTTTGAAAAAATGGTTAAAATAAAATGTGAAACAAACCCCTACCCCCCGTTTTTAACGATGAAATCTATCCCAAAATTAATTAATAATCTCGTTTATTCCCATCACTCTAACCTAGAGTCCTGCAGGGCTGGCAAGTCAGCCCGACGATTCTGCCTATTTTTTTGCTTGATTGAATATCACAATCATAATTTTTTTTTAAAAAATCAGGAATTGGGATCTATTTGCTATTCATTCACATATTTTTGTAATAGTTAGAATAAAAATATATGGACATCCATCATTAAATTTTCAAGGTAACTGCTGATTTAAATTTAAACGCATTTAAAGATAAAAAAAAAGAAGAATATTTTTGAGTATAAGAAGTTCTTCTCTATGGGGTGTACCCTGGTTCTATTTATTTTTGTTTAGCCTTAGACAGCTTTTGAACTAGCAACACCCTACTTGGATGGTGCCCGTGTTATTTTTCGCAATTTTTTCAAGGCTGTTTTGACGAAAGAGCATGTTGTTAGGAAATAATTCTATAGGCTTTTTTTAAAAAAAAAATTTTGGCCAATGATCGCGATGGACTTATTGTAGATCTAACTAAAAAAAATTGCAACTGGGCCTAAGTCCGATAAAAAAAACCTATTTTGCAGGTTTCTACTATACCCCTCTTATTAATATAGCCACAAAAGATCTTGAGAGGTTTTTGTCACCAACATTATAATAGTATATTTCGTAAGACTCTGGAGATAAATAGATCCGAACCGTATGTTAAGGTTAAATTATAGAAAGAAAAAAAAGAAAAATTGATCATCGGGAAAAAAAGATGGCAATAGCATCAAAAACTAGAAAGAGAAAAGGAGATGTGACTTGTGATTCTTGTGTAAATCCATTATTTTGGCGTTGACTTCGAGCGTTTGGTCGGGTATCAAATCAATTCTTGCTATATAATCACTGGCATTGTGATTGGACGTTTGCACGAATTCGTTTTGATCGTAATCGCCCAATTCGGCTTTTAAATGTTATATAAAGATAATTAGGGAATATATTATTGGACCCTTATTAATTTTGTCATAGAAAAAAAAATAATTATAAGCCTCTTCCCTTTTTTATATTATATTATAAAGATACAATTTCTTTTGTTTTTTCTTTTCCATTTTGTATATTGTGATTCTTAACATTTTAAAAAAATTTGTATCTTTTTCAATTCCCTGCTTTATATTTAAGAAATGTTAAGGGTAAATAAGGAGTAAAAAAAATATATTAACATTGGACGACGTAGCTAGCCAATAAGATGGCGTTATATTGGTCGGCGTGATTGGTTATCAACTTGCCTATTCGTAGATCCCTTTTTAGGTGCAAGAAAAAGTGGTACCTGTGGAAAAGTATGTTTTTAATTTTGTAAATTAGAAATTATATGTAAAATCTTGGACCTTCTCGTAGCAGTTAACGATTTAGCTTTAAAAAAACTGGTCAACAGTCATTGAATAAAAAAAATTGAGAGATTTCTAATCAACTTAAAAACAACATTGATTTTGAACATAGGATGTGGGTTTTAAATAGGTTCTGAGAAAAAAATAATAATATTCAATTCAAAAATACATTAACACTCATAAGCAAGCTAGTCTTGTTAAAGCCCAAAACGGGTCAATTTTTCTAAACGACCCTGTTAAGATTTAATATTACGTAAGCCTGGAGATTTTATTCACAGATGTCAGAAAAGTTTTGAAAATCTAATTTTCCAAATTTCATTCAATATACCATTTTGGTTAAAATGTTAATAGGATCCTTTTTTTAAAAAAATAGACCCTTATCGGACTTCTTAACAATCCTAAGCAAGACAGAGCAGAGAGAGTAAAAACTAAATAAATCATTATAATCATTAGTATCCTTCTTTTTATTTCTTCCCCTTCCTTCGCAAAAAAACAAACAAAATAAAAAAGTTTAAAAAAAGATGAAGGACGTTTAATTTAGTGCAGATTTTGATTATGTTTTTTTTTATAAATGTTAACCTCGTATATTCTTCGTATAACTTTTCGGGATCGGCCGCGAAGAATTTGACCTTGAAGTAGAAAATGTAAGGATAAGGATCTAAAAGAATGTTTTTTTAAAGGTAAATATTTTTATTTTATAGTGTATGGATGTGTTTAGACACACATATAGGCAAGCAAAATGTCATGTCCCGTCTGTCAAAAGCAGAACGAAGACTGGATTGATTGGCTTTCCTATTTTTTCGAGGATCGTGGTTCAGCCAGATCGATATTTATGTTTCGGTCCGAACCTTACCTACCCTATAAATTTCAAAAAAAAAACTTTCCATGAACTTTTAAACGCAATATAATTTGTATTAAATTTTCCATTTTTTTATATAAATTTATAAATGACTCAAATGTTAACAGCAAAATTGTCTACGAATCAAAAGATAGGTATTCCAAACATGATAGAATATATTTCCGGTAAAATCAAATTTTTTAAATTTTGAAAAAAACGCGCTCAAAAAAATGATTTTAAGTTGTATAAATTAATATATTTGGCGGAAACACATTGACGCCTACATATATATAACAAAAGGATTTTGAACCGGTTCAAAAAAATATATAGATTCGGTTAGCGCGATCGGTAACGGTTCAGAAAATTATAAAGGTTCTTTCCGGTGTAACGGGGTTCGCTCAGGGTCCCTATAATAGATTTTTCTTATAGTCGGTAGAAATGTAATTAACATCTATTAACTTAAATCTCGAGGCTTGAGTAATATTATTTTGGCTAAAATCTTAATTTAAAAATGGCTGAATCGAGCCGTTTGACAACACAACCTTCATTGGCCGACCTTAGTTATATCATACGAATCTTATTTATTTCCTCTCTTAGTTAGGGTAAAATTTGTTATAAAATTCTGCACATAAAGGGTTGAAATTTAAAAGGTTTTTTGATGTTTGATTAAATATTGCAACTTTCTTATCATCCATTTATTCTCATAATTTATCCTCATAACAAATTAGTCATATAAACAGCTGATCTGTCATGGTACTTAACTGAATGTAATAGTATTTTTATTATTTATTTTTTTAAAATGCAAACTGTTTTGAGCTTGTTTTCGCACCGATTTTGTAGGATCTAACCATTTCTGTAAATAATACGTTTCATTAAATTTTAAATTTTAGGTGACAATAAAAAATATTTCCTATTCCGCCATTTCTATCGTAGAAAAGGACATGGTTAGAAAATGTGTAAAAAAAGAAGAAAGTATTCCCAATTTCTATTGGACTCCAATTTTTTAATGGTTTCGATAACCAATCTTAATAATATTTGATTTAGTTTCCGGTTAACTTTTGTTTTATAAAAAAAAATAGGAGTTTTGAAAAATAATAATCGAGTTAGGATAGCTGTACCTTAAATGCATTAGGTGTTAGAAATAAAATAATAATAATAAAATATGGACGTAGAGGCTAAAAAATTAATTAAATATTATAAAATAATTTATGCGGGGGGGTGGGGGGGGAGGGTGGAGGGGGGGGGGGGGTGAATAAATTATTTTATATATACCCATTCCTGAGATCCTATGAAGGAATCTAGAAACTCCAATCCGAAGTATCCCTTCTCCACGAGTTCCAAATGTTCGGTCACTTTGTCGAGCAAAAATTGGCCTTTGGCTTTAGTCTGGAATTTTTGTATAAATATAAATTATTAAAGTTTCCGCAGCCCTGTAGCTGAAAAGGGATTCGTTCCTCTCCACCAGAAAAAACAATTTTTCTGTCCCTAAAAATGGACCCCAAATATGTTTTTTTGAGCTATAGATTCTATCTGCCGAATGGCAAAAAAAAATTTATAGCTTATAAATCGTGAAATAAAAAAAGGCAAACGTCATCAGGCACAAATATGTCAATCATTTAAAATAAATCGGGCTAGCAACTCACATTATTGTGATTCGAGTTCTTCAAGATAAAGGTTATCTCAATCCTTTTTTTTAAATGCTGAGCAGTCCTAAGTTATAAGTTCGAAAAATATTGCTAGGCAAAGGAACTTTCCGTATCACGTTCGTTCCCTAGTGAACGTCACCCGTGATAGGTTAAGCCCGTTACACGTGACCTGAATTATAAAATAAATCGATTCAACATTTTTTGAAAAAAATAATTTTGGGCCGTGAAACGTCGTCTTTCACTAGTTTGAGGGGTAAAAAAAATGACGGGACTTGATTCCATCATAACTATAAAATAATATCCTTCCGCATACATCTATTAAATAATAATTTATTTCCTTCTTAAAAATGTCTGATAATTGTGATTATTTCCAACCCCCTGTGTCGGGCAGGAAGGAAGTTAAATCAATTTTTAAAAAGATGATAAATAGGGTAAAGTGAAGGGAGGCAAGTGGAGCCTCTTTTTGGTTTGTTTAGGATTAATTTAACGCTCGAATGATTAGCCCCTGATTCCTAGTTAGCGCGAATTCGCGGCCAATCATACCAAATACTCAGTATTTTTGTATTCTCCGCCGCCAATTCGCAATAAATGTGAATGCAGGGTAAGGCTATAATAATATATGAGCCATGGTTATTAATTAGGAATATAAATGTCACCTGTCCCTCTAATTTAATCGCTTACCGATAAAGATAAGATTTATATTTAAAAAAAACAACATAAAATTGAAGAAAGTTTTTTTTTAAATAAAAAAACAAAAAAAATCTAACATCGATTTCGAACATCTCTTGAGTATCGTCCAAGAAAAATACGCGGCATAATATAGTTGGTTCTTTGTGATCAATCTCTTGCTTCAAGCTTTCGTTTTCCCTAACATTGTAAACGCCACTGGGAACCCCGAAAAATCTTAGCGACATACGATTAGTTTCTAATCAGTGCAATTATTTTATTTATTTATATATAAATAAACATAATATGATAATTATTTATATTTTTTTAAAAAAAAGGCATACACAAGACGCTTCAATTAAAACGAAGCCGATATTAAATAATCGGATCGGGCCGATTTTTATTGGCGACGAGAAGGATTAAAAATATGATTTAACGAGTCACGTGGCAAATAAAAATCGCTAAATACGGGTTGGCGTAGAGTATCAGGTCGGTTTTATATGAATATCGAATATGTGGGCTGGGATAGGATCGGTAGAGTTGGAATTTCGATCATTTTGGTTTTCTTTAATCTAGGGCTGTATAACTCTAATAAATATTGGATTCGAATAGGGGGAAAAAATTTGTGGATGAGTAATGCCCTACTTAAACCCATCCATGGCTGTACAAAACATTTGTATAGGTGGAAGAGAATGTAACAAAGGTATAGGGTTGATAATTAGATCAATCAGAACTGTAAGTGGAGTAAATGTGATGCAAAATCAACCCATACTAAAGGTCACTACCAACAATAAAAGAGAAAAACCTAACTTATCGAGGATAATAAACCGGGATCCGATGCAGTAAAACTTGTAATCAAAAAATACCTAGGATATGTTTAAAATCAGGGTTGGCAAGATTCATCAATAGACCGGAGGAGTATATACCGTCAATTTTTAAAATCGGAAGAAAAAAATAAATAAAAATATTTGAAAAAATGATTATGTAATCACAATGCTCCTATTTATTGGGTGCTCAATATCAAAGGAAGCATCTTACTAGTAGTGAATTAAATGATGTGATATAATACAAGAATTAGGCATTTTACAAAGCGATGATCAAAATATTTCATGTGATATCATAAAATTTCAGAAGTAAAAGCAGCATTCTTAATAGCAAATTATGTGCAAAGCAAATAGCTTTCATAAGAAACAATCAGATTGCAGCCACATGCTAGTGGAATTGGTCTTGCCTACCAACCAAAAGAGATATGGCATTTTACTAACAATTCCTAGTTCTACTTCTTCGGAAATAAATTGGACTATTTGGGTTAACATCCCTAATGCAGATAAAAACAAAGATATGTTCTCTTTAGCTGTCAATTTATAGAGCGGAAACGGAAATCAATCTATCAATTATATTTTGGGGTAATAATTAAAATCAAAGATACGACTAGAAGAAATTTAATATTTTTTTAAGCCGACAAATAAAAATTTAAAAATTCTGGAATGAATTTTAGGTGTGATATTATTATAGTTATATATTATAAAGAAGAAAAAAAAGTTTCCCCGTTTTATTCATTCAAGGAAAATTCCAATGAAAAAAAGGAAAATCTTCATTCGTTTATCGTGCGGTTATTCTTTTCTTATTTACTATTATCTTATTTATATCTTAAAAACGAAATATCCTAATTGGTTAGTTGAGCATGCTAAATTTATAAGTGAGTAAAAAAATTGTTGTTTAACCCTTCAATTCTCCGGTGAAAAAAATTGGCATCCTTTTCTTTCTTTGGATATGAATATGATGATAATGTCATTTTTTCATATTAAACTCAAATATATATATATATAATGATATTCATATTACACTTTAAATAATTTTATTATATTTACTTTCAGAATCTGCAAAAATTATAAATTACGTATTTACCCTGGTGGAGTCTCGCAAACCCTAAATTAGTCATAAAATGCTTATCTAAAAAAACTACTCCACCAAAATATATGAAATTTGGAATATAAATTCTAAGATATATTTGATGAGGCTACCGAAGATTCCAATCATAATAAAAAACCTTTTTTGGAGGATTAAGTGCATTTCAAAAAGTATTCTAGCTTTGACATATCAGCTGTGATTTTGCTAGCGATTAATTTTGCATCGCTTGTGCAAATCGCGCTTACCGCAAATGTAGCATTATTCTTGAACTGGGATTCTAGCATTTCTAATATTTAAATCTTTTATATTTATAGCGCGCGTTTTTATGTTAAAAGGCCTGATTTTCTCAGATGGTTCAACTCAGGAGAAATGCCGTTACATCAGCTAATTTATTTTAATTTCTGTTCTGTTTATGATCACGTGATCTGTCAGATTTGACAGGTTACATAATAAAACTGATTAAATATTACTAAAACCAAATAATAAATCTTTACTCCTAATCCCATATCTCTCGTATCTTTAATTAAACATTAACCCATATCTCTATAAACTTTAATCCAACTTCTTTATACTTCAAGATTCTTGTTTAAGTTTCAATATATATCTCATCCAATTAAAAAAAAATTTCCTTTAGTTGAGCTATTATCAAAATATTCACGGGGTCAGGTTTATGATTTCAGCCAATGACAACACATTTTTTACTCGTTAAAAGCCGATGATTGGCTAAACCCTTACGGACATTATAGTATAATTTTTTATTTAAAAAAAAATTTTTTTTTAAATCATTATACGTTAAATTTTTAATTTGTCATAATAATAAAGTTTTGTGCAAGTTTAAGTTTTTCTTAAAAATACTTATTTCTTATTATTATTATATTATTGTTTTATTGTATTATCTACTAGCTATTATGTTTAGCTATACTATAATTATGTATATATTATTTGATAATAATATACAATTTATATAAGTTCAATTCGCATGAAATGAATAGAATTAATTGACTAAATAAAAATTTTAAAAGTTGAGTTTAAAAAATTATGTCAATATATGGAATAATAATATCATAAAATAAAAATACACAATTTAAACTGAATAAATGGGGTTTTCTTTCTTTCTTTCTTTCTTTTATTTCCTTCAATTACTCGTTTCCACTTGGGCTTATAGACTCCTATCCTAAACAACATTTTTAAATTTTTTAAGCGTCTAAGCTGATTTGCCGATTTATCGCACTAAATAGCATATCATACAGATTCAAGGGAAAACTACATTGCCAGGTTAAACCTATTGATCTAAACTGAAAATCTTACATTGATGTATTGTCCACAACATACACCAAAAGCTACCCTACCTACCACCCCCACCCCACATTAATTTTACTTTATATCCACGTTGATACCGACCGATAAAATGCTTTGCCCAATTTATCCAGCCAGCGGGACAGGCTTTAGGACCAAGCCAACCTCTAATGCTTAATGCCAGGTTCTGACAATCCATCCTTTTACAAAAAGTCCTAAATTGTTTAAATAAATGGCTAAATAAATTGATTATTATTTTTTATGTATCCTTTAAAATCTCTAAAAAATTAATATTGAAGTGGGTATTATACTGTATATTTCAATGGATTTTCTTCTTTTTCATATTTAAGAGATATCCTCCATTTTTTTTTAGCGATCTATTGTTAAAAAACTCAAATTGAAAATATAAGTATATAACTTTCTCTAACATCGATATTAATTTAGAATATTTTTCGGGAATAAATAAGTAATATTTTCAAGTCAAACAAAGAGGGAACCAATATAGTCAACCATTAGGTGGGAATCTAATCGATAGCAATAAACATAACAAAAAAAAATTATCCCCGATAAATTTTATTTTCCCATTTTTCTTACCAAACTAGCATTTGGTAATTTTTCGCAATCTCAAAAGGGCCGGATTTAACATAATTTTATTTAATTTTAAGAGATGTCCTATTTTAATTTTACGATTTTAGACAAAAAATAAATAAATAAAGCATACCCCGATATTTTTGTTTAATAAATGTTTCAAACCTTTCTACCATTTATGAGTAAAATCCAAAGGCTTGCAAATAATATTTTCTTGCCTAAAATATTGGGCAAATAGTTTTTTGCCCAAAAATCGAGTCGTTTAAAAAACACTATTCGGGCACCTAGTTTTTTTAAAAAAATTATCCAAAAAAACTAATATGTTTTTCTACCTTCTCTCAGTCTTCTATTTCCACAAAAAAAAAGAATTTCGATTTTTAATTTAAGATAAATACTTATGAATTTTTAAAAGCTTGTAGTAGTAATTTATCTTATTTTACGAGTATTCAGAGCTTCATGTCAAATCGATAAAAAATATATTATATTATTTCGTAGGATCCCCTTGAGGTTTGAATGAAATTTTGTATATATATAAACTAATGTATACGTAGCTAAAGGGGTCAAAATAAGAAATATTATCTAATTTTAGGCTTATTGATTGTCCTTCAATCAAAATTTTTTCCAAAAAAAAACTATGGAATTATAGGCAATAATTTTCTAATACCGAAATAAAGTTTATAAATTTTATTATTTTTATTTTTGATGCATTTAACCCCACGCCATAGTTTAAAATCCTTGTAAAAAAATTCTATAATTGTGATAAAATTTTAAGCAAATATCACTAAGACCAACTCTGAATAAAAAATAATGGATGACCAGCTTTTCCTCCATGGTAAAATTAACAAAAACACTAAAAAAACAAATATTTTTTTTGGCATAATATGGCAATTAATTGTTCTAAATATTAGTGAAAATATTTTAATATTTTTCATTATAATAAAGAACGCAATTTATGAATAATTTTAATTTTTATTGGTTGGAAATATTTAAAAACAGCTAAATTACATAAATTGTATTATATATATATATAAAATATTTCAAATCATCTCATCGTAGATCATAATTTTTTTCTAAAATTTAAAATTTTGGATAAATATGTGGGTTGTAGTGCAGATTCATTAATAATTATATAATTCTATTGAATAAAAAAAAATATCCATGTTTTTTTGGGTGTTTTTATTGATTTTCCATAGAAATAGAAACTTTATACAGTCTTAGTGACAATTGCTTAAAGTTTTATAGAAATCGGAGAAACATATTATTTCTTACGAGGACAAAATGAGGATTAAAATGAAGTGGCAAGATTAAATAATAGATAGGTCACGTCTTGGGATCGACTCAAAACAAGCTGTTTAGCTAGCTATCTAGATTCGATTAAATAGCCTAAAAAGTAAAAGGCATTTTAGTTTTTAGGAATTTCCAAATAAAGAAAATACATTATATTAAGGAATAGAAAAATAATTTTAAAAAAATGTTTTTTCAAATCAAAAAATCAAAAAATTATTTTAAACTATAAAAGAAAAAATTTAAAAATAAATCAAAAAAATAGAGGAAATTAAAGAATAAAGCCACCGAAAGCTAAGAAACCAAAATGGGTGACTTAGTTCAAAAGCTGCTAAGCCTGGGCTAAACCAAAATAAGTAACCAAAAATATGTAAATAAGGACACAGCCATACTTTAATTTGATATAGAATCGTTATTTATAAATCTGAAGTTTTTAATAAATCTTTAGTAACATTATTCATATTTTGACCCTCGAAATAAAAAATATAAGAGCAAGGATGCTAAAATTTGAATGGTGCTTTAGTTACACATAACTTATTCAAATCCTAAGGGGTCAGGAGAATTGTGATTAATTTAACATGGAATAGCTTTTCTTTATGACAAAGATAATGTTAATTAGGTAAAAATTTGAAAAAGTAAAAAGAAATATAAAAAAAGAATTAACAAAGCTTTCTTTATTATTAATATAATGTTTTATGCTAGTTATTATATAAAGGTAAAATATTATAAATTCAATAAATAGTAAGATCGAGCCTAATAATTTACTTTCAAATGTTTTCTTTTTCATCTGTTTGGAAATTTGGAGATCCTTTTTTTAACTTGTAAATTATTTGTGACTATTTTTTTATAAGGGCTAATTATTATTTTTGGTAGGGATGTACCGATATTTTATATCGGATCGGATCGGGTCGATATTCCATCCATTTTAAAATATTGGTTATCGGCCAATATTATAAAATTTTCCGATCCGATATAAAATGGCGTCTTTAACAAAAATAAAATGTTATAAAAATTTTTTTTAAGTTATATTTAAAATCATTTATTTTTATAAATAAATTCGAAATCCATTTTTATGTATATTTTTTTAATAATTAATTAATTAACATTCTGCCATATTGTTATTTTTTTGCTCTGTTTATAAAAGTGTGCTATAATCTTTTCAGAATCTCTTTTTAGTGAAGCTGGTGATATTGACAGTTACTATCGCCTGTAGGCTGACCTTTGATAAATTTGTTGGTATTTCTAAAAAAAAATCTTCAATATATTAATTTTAAATATTATTTTAATTATTTATTTCAAATTTCATAATATATTTGTTTATTACTTAATATTTATATAGATTAATGTTATATAAAAGTGATTTAACAATAAAAATATTTTATATACTTTTAGAATTGCAATTAAATTGAATATAAAATATAACTGATCATTATAATATATTCAAATGATATAAGTTATGGTAGAGTTAAATTATAGATGTTATACTAATAAAAAGTATATTAAAAATTAAAACCATTGGTATCTTTAGAGAATACAAAATTAGATATGATATTGGATCGTTAATAGGCCAATATCAATTCAATATCGAGAATATCGGATTGGATTGGATTGGCCTCCAAAAAGTGGTATCGGTACACCCCTAATCTTTGGTATCAATCACTACATCAATTATAATTGAAAGTGATGAATACTTACCAATAGTGTGAGTATTGGTGCTTCTCTTGTAAATACATAACAAATTTATTTAAAGGAAAGTTGATAATAGTAGTATGTTTTAAAAAAATATAATATCTGTAGTTATTTATCAGTGAATATTAATTTTTTTAATTTACTATAATGATACCATAACTTTGATAATATGATTACTGTTATATTATTAAAAATAAACAATAAATATAATTTATATCATTTTGACATAATTACAAGATTATAATAAAGAAGTTATATATAGTTAACCGAAGTCTTTATATAACTAATAAATACTTTTAGTAAAATTGAGCATATTCTCTACTAAAAACTTCAAAGTATCAGATCAAGTGTTGCCAACAATATGATATAATCAGATTTATCCAGGATTTTATTCAATGAAAAATAAAATTTATCTATAATATAACTCCTCCCCAGTTAGGAGTTAACTTACTATTTAATAATATCAAATTTTCTCTCCTGTACATATATCATTGGGTATAATATTTTATTTATATTCTCTTTTAACATATTTATGCATACATCCACTTAATCTATATGCCACATATATATAATAATTTTAAAATATTTTTCAATGAAAAGATGATATTAACATAAATTAGAAATATAAAAAACAATATAATATATTTACTTTAATAATATTAATTGCCAAGAGGTTGTTCAAATATGAGAATTTCATGAGTATTGATTATATGGAATGATTCAATTTTGTCCGCATAATTATAAAATAATACAATCTAACATGTATATAATTCGTGTTTTTTCATAAAACTTATGTTTCACAACTTGCTTGAACAAAGCTCAAATGGAATGATGATTTTATAACGGATAAAATTTAAAACATGTGTGCAATTGCAAATATATTAACAACAGTACTATAATAAGTGGAGCGTAAAAAATTCAACTAAATAAATACCTTTATGAAATTTGATTATATTATAAAAAAGCTAATTTAAAACAAAGGTTATTAAGAATTATTGATTATAAAATTATCCTGCAAATATTAAAAGTTTTAAAAATAACTTGCTGAATAAAAATTAAATTTATAATTATTAAGAGATGAAGCGTCAATATACTATCTCAGGGGGCTCAAAATTTTTTTTTGAATATTATGAAAATTACCTTCTCTTCTTTTTGCTAACATTATCTAAAATTATCTTTAGATAACTTATTTTTATTTTTTAGTGGTATAAAAAAAAATTAAAATTTTGAGGCGGCTCTTAAAATTTTTCAGGGGGATACGATCCTCAGCTCTCATCGTGGTGAGGTTACTGCTACATAGAACCATGGATATCAATAAATATATACTGATGAATAGCCCTCATAATGGTGTGTTTAAAATAGAAGGCTTAATTACCATTGCACTATTTGGATTAATTTTCCCTCAAAAAATTATGTAAGTTTAAGGAAAGTCTCACGAGACATCACGAGTGTTGGATACGAGTGGGAAAAAAATTACAGAAGCAATGTCTAATATACTTGTTTATTTTCAAGATATATGCCGAATTAATTGCTGAGACATTTCTGTTGGATCGCACCTAAATCGATATAGTGTGTAATCCCTAGCATTTGGAAGACAGAAGATCAACAAGGTATTAAGTTGATAAATAAAGACTTTTTTTAAAGTTATTATGTTTAAATTTACAAGAATTATCTATTTTACATCCTTGATAGATAGTTGCTTCGCTAGGAGGGGGGGGGGGGGTGAGCAGGGGCTCGAGCTACCTGAAATATTTGAATAGCCCCCTGAAGCAAAATATTTTTTTTCATGATTCCTTAATATTCTCTTGAACTAAAAATAATTTTTTATTTGCTCCCTGAACAATTTCTTTTATAATTCTATTGAGTAATATATGGATTTAATTTTAATATTTAAAAATTAATAAGACTATCTAAATTTTTATTAAATGTATACTATTTAATTATTAGATTAGATTAATACATATAAATTATATTTTCATTATGTCAGCTTGCGATCAAATTCTATGATAAAAATATATTAATATGACTCACTAAAATATTAATTTAGCATTAACAGTTGATTAATTGACTTTTATTATTTAAATTATTATATAACCCTAATTAAATTATTATAATCATTTATTAATTGAAAATTAACAAATTTATTTGTAATTAGCCGACTTTAACATCACTAATCAGCTATATTATATTATTGATTTTTAAATTTAATTATCATGTCTCTTTCTAAAATTATTTTCAAGGTTCAAATCCAAATAAGTATAAGAGATTTATTTATAAACAGTAAGTAGACAATATATAATTATTTTAAAATATTAGGTAAAATGCCACTTTTGCAGACGTATTTGACAGTATTATAATATATTACAGTTAATATTTTTAAAATTTTACTAATCAATACTTTTGATAATAAATATAAGTAACAATTTGCATTCAATTATTTAACGCCATCTATATTATTATAATTAAACATCTTATTATTTAATTTAAAATGGATGTAACAAATTAGATATCTTTTCTTCTCTTTTTTTTACATATTTTTAGGTAAGCTATTTTTTTCTTCTTTGAAAAACAGTTTTGAGTTAAATTTTTAATACGAATATATTTAAGCTATTATTACAAACTATAATTATTTTAAGATATAATATACCAACTAGAGATGGTGCGACAATAATATATAAAATTTTAATTGCTTTCATGATATCACTCTGGTTCATATTTTATAGTTACAAAATGTTTCATTTCTAATATGTCATCCTTGCGATGTAAATAACTCAAGGCCTGCAATATATTTGCATAATTTCTTCTAAAGATTTTTAGTGATTTTGTTTCATCAATTTATCTAACATAATAAATTCTGATATGGGTTACCATCATGAGTGTCATGGCTATGACTGTAAATTAACCAGCATCTATTATTTGTGTGGTTAATGTAATTTAAGATTATTACTAAAGCTGCTGATAGTTGCATATTTTAGATATGCAATAAAGGTCAAGTATGTGGTCGTTTATATATCATTAAAAATGGAAGATAATCTTTTAGAAATTATATCTCACAATAATTTTCTCGATTACTTATCTAGCTTCCATCATGTCATTAAGAGGAAGCTCTAACTACACTACCTTATAGTTTTATGATATGAATTGATCGTTTATATTCTTTTTTTAATAATTGTTAATTTGGTAATGCCTATGAATTTTTTTTTATTAATCCATTCTATAAAACATTGTCTAAAATGGTAACAGAGAGTTATATTAGTTTCATGACCTTTTGTCAATGTAAGTTGCTAAGAATTCATAACCTTATGTGGTTTTTTAAAACCATTATCAATTGAGGCATATGTATGAATTAATTAACCTTTTTTATCACCTGTAATTATTTAGACGCAAAATTTTTTTATATCAACCATAGAAAATATTTTATACTGTAATAAATAGATTTTGTATTAAATAATATTATTTTTAGATGTCTTGTATTGTTTTAATTATTTATATGTTAGTTTATTTTGTATACAAAATATAATAAATGACAAAATATGAAATTCTGAATAATAGTTTAGAGCTAGCAAATTTTAAAAAAGTATAATATATTAATATATAACCCGGCCGAAGGCCGGGTAAAAGCGGGCCGAAGGCCGGCAAATTGGAAATATGGATGGCGAAGCCTCACATAAAATTTTTTTAGTTGAGCCCCCTGAGATTGTAAAGGCTAGCGACGCCCCTGTGTAAAGAATGTACAAAATTGTCTTGTTTGTTTATTATAATTATAAATCTCGATTTCATTTTTATTTATTTTATAAATTTTATAGGAATTAACATATTTTATTTCTTCGTCGGCCTTTCAATAGACTGAGCATAAGTTAAAACTTGTTTCAATGAAAATTCTTCATTGGTAGAACCAATTCGAAATCCTAATCTTAATCTTAATAAATTAACTCCCGCAATAAATTGATTTATAATCTGCTCTTCTATATTGCTTTTAAATTTGCAAGGAATACTCAGTGAAATAATTCTTTGCAAATAACTTATTACATTTTCTCCTTCTTTCTAAAAGCTCGTTTAAACTATAATACATAATAGCAAAATATTTCGTTTCATTTTTTGAAGTATTTTCACAATGGATAGCAATTTTTTTCAAAAGAATATTCTTTGATATTTTTTGGATATATTAAATTTTTTTACTTTCCAAATAATTTTTATTCTAATAACACATAAAATTATTATTTTTTGAATATCTGGTAATAGGTATTTTTCTTACTTTCAACACCAATTCCAAATTTTCAAAATAACCATTAATAACAGTATTGGCCATCGAACGGATTTTAAATAATTTTTGAATAATATCCAATAACCTTCTGTAATCTCTATTCATTTTTTTTATCTGCTAATACAGCAGATTATATTTCCGATCAATTCATACAGTATTTAAACAAGAATTAAATTAGGAAAATCGAAAACATTTATAAAAAAAACAAAAAATTAAACAGGCCTTTTTTATTTAGGATCAAGGTCTAGACCTATCTTATTTAGGACCACGGTCTAGTCCTTTCTTTTATTTGAAGATTATATCCGGTTTAGTCCGTGTGCATCAACCTGACCTTGAGCATAAAAATTTTTATGTTAATAAAAATTTAAAAAATTACGTTTCACGAAGATGAGATGTCATAATTTACCTTTAAGATAAGTGATAGTACATATGTTTATATCAAACTTGATATTTTTTATTAATTATGTTTATTCAATATTTAGTCAAATTTTGTATGTTATAATTTTTGAAGAAAATGGATAGTAATTTTAAATAATTTTTTTACAAACAAGTTATTGAAATTAAATAATTGGTTATGTTTGATTAATATATGCAAGTTTAAGCAAAAAAGTTATTTAAGACATAGTTAATTTGTATTAAAGCTATTGCATGATATTTTAATCTTCAATTCTTCGCTACTAGCAGTTCTTAGGGGATGTCGACACTAATAAACACCTACGGGCTTCGCCCTCATACCTCCATTAACGGGCCTTAAGTTTTTTTGACAGGCCTTGGCTGAGTTTATCTTAAAACCATATTTATTCCTATTTTTCTTTATATATTAAATTACACAAAATTAAATAATTTTTACTATATTATAAAATTAATATACTTTTTAACTATTGCATAATAATAATGACTTATTTTAATTATCAGAAAAACAGGTAAAAGATTTCCTTGGTTCTAGGAATATATCAAATATATAGGTACTTTTATAATTCCCACTAATTTTACAATAAAGATATTATTTTATTACAATAAATATGAAATGAGATTATAATATTTTTCTTAAATATCTATCCATATTACAAATTATGTTTGCTATTGATAAAAATAAAATAATTTATAAATGTTGATGATATAAATCTATTAATACATTTTCTTAGGTGATAAATATTTTTTCTAATTCAATTAAAATGTGCCTATTTTTTATTTATATTTATCTAATCTTAACCTGCCCTTTATCCATTTCTTTTATGAGTTCCTTTAGAATCGCATTGATATCTCTCTATTATATATACATAATTAAAAATTACAGTGGCTCAAGGTTATTTTCAAATAACTTTCACGCAGAATCAAATTAGGAACATAATTTTTGATTTGTACAGGTATAAGAAAGGTGTCTAGTATTATTATAAGATTTATTAGTAGTTTGGTTAATATTAAATTTTTTTGGCTGAAGTCAAACCTAGCTAAGTTTGAGCCAATTTATTTTGGCTATGAAAGTTTTAAAATGTCGAATATGACAATTGTAACCAATCTGTAATATATTAT